GAAGAAGAAGAAGAAGAAGAAGAAGAAGAAGAAGGAAAATTCTGATAAGTGTTCTGTTGTCATCTTCAGCAGGAGGTGCAGAGTTCCACTTAGGATGGTACCAGTAGCAGTTCTATTATATCAAGCCTTGACTTTCCTCTGAATGAAGAATATCAGACAGATCCCTTGATCAATCAATCACTCCCCGCTACACCATTTCTCACCAGACTATCATCATCTATTTGTATTTTGGCATTTTGCATTTGCTCCCAAAAGGCACTAAACAGTGTCTAGTTTGTCATGATCAATTCATTTCCAAGCATAGATGAACCAGCCAATTTGCCCACTTGTTTATTTCCCAACACACAAGCATACTCCAGAGAACAGATCCAAAGGACACTAACTAACCTTCCCCAATTTTGACTGCTTTGTCCATGAATAGTTTGTACTTAACTGGGGATCTCAAGATGTCAAATGGTCGATTGTCTCTATCTCAATGATTCCAAATATATCCCTGGCACTGGTCTTTGCTGAGGGGTATCGAGGTATGGTATCTGCCTGGAAATTGAAAAAGAGTAGCCTAACGGCGCTGCCCGGGCTCAGTTTGGAGTTTGAAATCTACTCAAAGTATTTCAGGATCCTTGCTGGTGCAATGGAGTTCATGCACTGTACTGAGAATCTTCAGACTCAGGCTTGAGTTAGAAGTAGAATGGAGCACTTATGGGTTATACCTATGTACCGTGATGTTAATCCATTGAATAAACCATAAGCCATTGGTCGTGTGTGTGTGTGGGTGGGTGGGTGGGTGTACGTGCGTGTGTGTGTGTGTTTTTTTTTAAATTTTTTTATTATATATATATAAATATTTATTCAGATTCTGACAAAGGCAGTGCTTGTGAAGGGAGTAACATAAGCAATATGTATTAACCGGTTAATCTTCTCCTTCAGCATTCCTAGCCCTTGAGGGTCATTGCTGCAGATATTACCCACCTCCATTCATCTCTGTGACTGACATTCTCTTTCCAGATAGTGACAAAAATCATACAAACAACAAAGCCATATTAAAGTATCAAAGAATATATTTTGATATTGAAGAAAACAAAAAACAACCATTCCGTGTATGAAAGTATTTGTACATACATTTTGTGTACAAAAAGATATATTTATGATATATTATAAAGCGAGGAAGCAATCCTCTAGCACCAAGATAAATCTTATTTATGTACAGACCCCGATGGGTTCCACTGCCCCATTTTAGGTGGGTGGGGAGGTGGGGGCACAGACCCACCCAAACAAGCATGTCATAAAATGTGACTAATTAGAGTTTTGCTGAAATCAGACGAGGCACACTACACTCAGAGGAAAGGCAAGATGGACATATAACCAGATTGTGACAGCTAACATCAGTACTGGAACTCTGCGCTGGCTGCTGAAGATGAGGATGGAGCATGCATGGGAATGCCCAGAGTGCTGTAATGTCAATTCTTGACTCAACTCAGATGAGGCTGAGCCGAGTAGCTCAGATACCGCAGCCCATGTGTCAACCACACCATAATGCAAATATAAAGAAGGTCAAGAAGAACAAGAGGAAGAGGAGGAGAGAATATTGATAGTAATGTCATCTGTGCGACATTAATTCACCGAACCCAAGAAAAAGATGATTATAAATTTTGCACTTTCCTCTTCTGCGTTTACCCTGTCAAGGAAGGTCAGAACGTGTTGCTGTTTACAGCTAGGCTGTGATATCTGCATCTTTAAAACAAACACATCTAAGTATTTCAGGATCCTTACCGGTGCTACAGAGCTTGGGCACTGTGCTGAGCTTCTTCGGACTCAGACTTGAGTTAGAAGAAGAACAGAGCACTTATGGGTTACTACCCGTGTGCCATGATGTTGATCCGCTGTTCAAAACCTCAAACATCTAATTTCCTCAAGCTCTTACTTTTGACAGCATGCTTGTTTGGTGGAGTGGAGGCACCAGGGGACTAAGGGGTCCTCTTTTCTTGTTTCCTCCCAAAATGGGGCCTCAGAACCAACAGGAGATTTCACATTTTCAAAAGAAAACATAATATTTAATGTTATACACATCCAAAGCTAACTAGGCAATCTTTGAGTAACTTCAGCGCTTCATCTTTCTTAAATCAATATTTAAAAATCAAAGAAAGACACCACAAACCTACTGAATTAAATTAAAATATAGGGTGACTGCTGTCAAGCTAATACAAGGAATTCCAGTGAAATTTGGCTAAAAAGCTTGACCAAAAGAGGCAACAGAAAACGTGCACAAAACAAAGATAATGTTTTGGCCTGCAGCTTTTGTAAATTTGACTAAAAAGCTTGACCAAATGGGGAAGCCTATTACAAAGTCTGCCGGCCGAAACATTATCTGTGTTGTTTTGTGCACATTTTTCTGCTTCCCATTTGGTCAAGCATTTTAGTCAAAATTCACTGGAATTTAATTAAATGAAATGATAAATGCTGTAACTGGCAGAGAAGTAATTTCGGGAAACGAAAACTCAGTGGAAATCAAACTGCTATCCCATGTTTTATTAGAACTGGTTTTTAACCTGGGATGCACAAGAAAGTTTTATGTGTGTGTGTGTGTGGGGTGGGGGGGGGGGTGCAATGTTGAAAATGAGTTCATTTGTACCTATAATTATCTGTTATACTAATTTTTTTTTTAAGTTCAATTGTTAATCAAAGATATTTTAAACTATATGTTAAAACAAAGCATTATAACATTATGTTATTTGACTGACACTTTGATTTATGTGCATGTTTTCTCCAAGATATTGTTTTAACAGTGCTTGGAATTTTTATGTTATCCTCTTTTTTGAAATCCCTCTTATAAAAGTTGGGATGAGGGGGGTTACCACATAGTCAATGGCTGCGTCATCCAAAAAAGGTTGAATACCACTGTGCTAGAAGCATAAACGTATGAAAAAGATGATGATGATGATGATGCTGGGTGATAGATGATCATGATAATAAAGTTGGTTTTTGACTAGATGAAGATAACATTTCCTCCTGTGCTCTTTCAAAAAGGTAGCACAACCTTCAAGGCAGTAATAGGGGCAACAATTCTCTCGCTCAATCTTGTCGACTTACATGTAAGACCTCCCCAAACTAAATTACTACGTAAATTGCAACTGATAAGTCGAGTTGTCAAACATTAAATAAATCTTTCTAAAACTAAGGGCCATCTTATACATCTTATATGGCAGGTATAAAATGCAAGTCGGCGTCTGTGGCCTAGGCATGGCGAACGTGCTTCGTAAAGCCGGGTTTGATCCCAGCTGCAGACGATTTATCTTGCGTTGATTTTGACAGTGGATTTGAGAGCTGACCATTTAGAAAGCAATGGCAAACTACTGAACGTAAAATGTGCCTAGAAAAACCACAAATAGCTAAAATATGCTGGGGTTGGTTCTGCAACGTCCTGTAAAAGAGACCCAACTAGCCTATAAAATGCTAACTGTTGCCACCTAGTTGCAAACAAGTGGAACAGCATTCCTAACAATTACTGCAAACCATTTACAGTATCTCCAACAGACTGTCAGACATTTCACATGTAGGCACATCGGTGGTCTAGTGGCAGAATACTCGCCTGCCAAGCAGGTGACACCGGTTCCATTAAAGGTCAATGCAAATGTTTTAAGGGCTGAATATAAGCTGGCCTGCGTGCCCATTTTGTGACCCTTTGAAAATGATGCCCATTTGCTCATTCATCACAAATATACTCATCCCACTAAAATTTGTGTGTTGAACATATCTTAACACAAGACTTAATATAGAATATTAGTAACATATAATGGGAACAAATAGCAATAGTTAGACACAACAACATCGCTTGCTTGTGACACAGTTTTATAAGCCATAGATCTTTTCTAAACTGCACTTGTGATGTTTTGGACTCTTCTCATGCTACATTTATTGCTTTCTGTGTGTGGCTTTAAGAGACCCTTCTCCACACCTTCAGGCCTAGTGAGCATACAGTAAATTGAAGGACCCTTTTCCAAACTTCTTCTTCTGCCTTATATCCCCCAATGGAGCATAGGCCCTCAACCAACTCACGCCAAGTTGTTCTATCCTTCGCCATTGCATGGAGCTCTCCCTATGTCCTCCCATTCTTTCTAACCTCGTTCTCCAGCTCTCTTCTCCATGTGTTTTTTGGCCTTCCTTTATTCCTATGCCCCTGTGGGTTCCAATGCAAAGACATTCTAGTAATGCTGTTCTCCTGTTTTCTCAGTGTGTGCCCTTTCCAACGCCAGCGTCTTTTCCTCACTTCCTGATCCACTGGAGCCTGTTTAGTTCTCTCCCAAAGTTCTACATTAGTTATTCTATCATACCATTTTATTCCCTCTATTCTGCGCAGGCACCAGTTAATGAATGTCTGTAATTTATTAGTAATTGCCTTGGTTGTTCTCCATGTTTCCGCCCCATACAATAGTATTTTCCAAACTATAGTGCTAGTATTGTATTTTTATACACCAGTCAGCATTCGTCAGGTGATGTGGCTGACATCATGCCAACTGCCTTTACTTCCCAAGATTTTACCTGATCCTTATTAAAGCTCTATCAACCTGGGAGCCAAGGTAATTTTTTTTAAAAAGCCAATGCCATATTTCATATAGGTAACAGAACAGTAACAGAGAGTTTTTGTAAACAACACACATTTCCTCTAAAAGCACTGTTATATCTATCTAGTCAGCATCTGTGGGTTAAAGGTTACAAACGTGGTTTGTAATTCTGAAACATCAGTTTGACCTGGTTGCAGGTGGTTTGGCAACAGTCCGCTTTGCATTGACTGCAACAATGGTATGGTGGGCTGACCATTCAGAAAGCAATGGCAAAACGACAGAATGTAAAAACTGCCTAGTAAAACCACAAACAATCAACTTAACTAATGCTGGGGTCGGTTTGCAACATCCTGTAAAGGATATACAACTGACACATCTTAACAATATAACTGTGTATCAAATGTTTAAAAAGAAACAATCAGATGAGAAATGGGCAACTTTTTAGGGGTCAATAAAAGAAATCATGATGTAACGGGTTCCAGAGAGGGTTCGGAGACCCTCATGATAGTGGGTCAGGCGGCCAGGGTGCATGAACATCCAGCCCTTCCTGGGTGATGTGATGCTGCAGTTGTAGCGCAGGAATCGGCAACCTCCTCCCTGCAATAGACAAATTAAAATGAACACTGCTTTTCAAAAACAAATTATCCCTGTGTGGGTTCTGAGGCCCCATTGTAAGGAAAACAAGAACTGACTCACTGCCTACCCAACCAGCATGTCACAAGTGTTGACCAATTGGGGGCTTCCTTCAAAGTTGGAGTATATATATATATATATATATATATATATATATATATATATATATGCCTGAGAGGCATTGAACCTAGTCTGCATACAAATAGGCAGATCTGTAAAACAGGTATGCACGCAACACTCAGGTTGTGTAACCAGCCTAAAGTCCAGAGGTAGGTAAGCAACCATAATTTTTCTGCCGGAGTTTACAGCCAGTGACAGTGAAGGAGAAGAAGAAGAAAAGTAAATGCCTGAGGAAACTGAAGAGTGATGAACGTCATCATCATAGTCCCATAACACCAGGTGTCGTTTGGTCACCAGTTGCTGCCGACTGTCTGATCAGATCCCTTTACCTATGTCAGTTGCAGGCAACGCATGTGGTGTTTGCTTGTTTGGGGTTCATCTTTTCCGCCAAATTCTTCTTCTCCTTTTTCTTGCTGCTGAAGATGGGGACAGAACACTTATGGGGGTGTCCCAAGTGCTATGATGTCGATTTTTGATTCAATATTCTTCTTCTTAGTGTTCACCGGCTGTAAACTTTGGCGGAAAGTTCTGTTTCATCCACTTCTGAACTCTGGTCTTGTTCCAGAACTTAGTTATACGAAATTCCTCGTGTGGGTTCTGGGGCCCCATTGTGGGGAAATCAAGAATAGACCCACAGCTTCCCCAACAAGCATGTTGATGAAGTCGACAAACTGTGGGCTTCCTTCAAAGTCAGAGTGCATTTGCCCAAGCTGCAAGAAACAACCAACTGCATAACCATAAGCCAGGAAAATGGATGTACATGCAAAATTCAGGCCCTGGCACAAAGTCCAAACGGACAAACAACCCGGACTTTCCGTCACAGCGTACAGCTGGTGAAAAAAAAAAGAGGGCAGTGGGTCTATCTTCTATCCCCCAGAATGGGGCCAAATTATGTAATAATGTCTCTTTTAATCTGCCTCTTCACTTCTCCTCATTTTCGATTTGGAGAGGTCCACAGATCTGGTACCATGTCTGTACTATTTATTTTCTGTCTTTTTCAGGGTTGCAAAAAGAGGTTCATAGTTGCCAATGTGTTGGGAGATGGTATGATTTACTTATTACTTAGTCGATCCATCCTCTTCTACCATAGGGTATAGAGGTTTGCCAGAGAGATCACCAAACTTCTCTATCAGCAGTTGTCTTTATAGCTTTGCTATATATTCCAGTCATTTGTCAGTCAAGGACTGTCAGATGTTGCTTCTCAGCAAGTTCTGGGTTGTCCTGGAGGTTTGGTTCCCTGGTTCTTGGCCTTTTATGCCTGTCATGGTGGCTGATTCGCTGCCATTCTGCATATATGTCCAAACCATCGTAACTGTGACAAATCCACTCGAGTTTGTAAGGCCTGTGATGGTAAGGTGAACATTAAACTGGACATCTGCAAAGACTTCAAGGAACATTTGGGGGTAGTCGAAGAAGAGGGGGACAAAGAAGAACCTGGACTGACATGAAAAAAAATGGATATGAATAAAATACTATACACTTTTTTCAAGAAGCAAAAGACAGAGAAAGATGACAGGCTTTGTGTGATAGCTTCCATCAATACACCTCCAAGATCCTAATGGGTCGAGGGCTATGTATAAATAAGACAAATTTAAGAAAGGTGAAGAGAAAGGTCTGGACTGCACCTTATATCAACAGTGATAATATCAAGCAGATGGTGGTTTATCGGGCATATCATCAGAAGGACAGATAACACTTCAAAGTGTGCAATGCAAGTTTAGAAAAATGCCAGACAGGAAGCAGGCACAGGCATTAAATGAATAAGGCAGCTCCCAGAATGTCAAAACACACTAGAGTGACTAGCAGTTGGATAGTTCCAATTCTCTTGTCAGTTAGAATGATGCCCAAGATCTTGACAAATGTGAACCTCGGCTCTGATCATGTGACCTCAGTGGCTGGCTGAAAAGTCCAACAAACAACATTCAACTTCCTGAGGTCATCACACATATAAGATAAGTACCTCAAAATCCAGGCCAGGGGTGTTGAGAGCAATGTTGATGGTGTAGGTGGAGGCATCATGGTGGGGCCTCAGCAATGGCTGCTCGTCTGGTCGATAGCGCACAATGAAGTTCATGATTGCATGGGGAGGCTGGACAGACAACAATTTAATTCATTAAACAATCTATAATTTTTTTTTTAAAGTTATTTGCGTATCCTTTACAGAATGTTGCAGAACAAATGCCAGCATTTGTTGGCTGTTGTGGTTTTTCTAGGGAAATTTACGTCCAGTGGTTTGCCACTGCTTTCTGGACAGTCGGCTTCTCGATTACCACTGACGAAACCAACGCAAGGCCCGCAGCTGGCATGGAACCCGGCACACCCGCATTATGAAGCGCGTTCAAGCAACATATCATGTAGGTAGTATCTTACTGTACAGTTCTGTCTTTGAACATCCTTTGTTGACCCCCAGAGTCATCGCCACCGTGTTGGGATACACAAAGACAGTCGACTAAATGTCCATCAGATGCAGGTCCTAAGGCACAACAGCAAAGTCCCACATGGTTGACCGTCACAAAGTCCTACTTTCTGGCAGAAAGGTTCAAATCTCTATTACTGATGGCTCCCACTTGCCGGAGTGAGGGGACCAAATAGCAGAAGCCGTGCCTGATGCATGCTTTTCCATACTGTCGTGTTAAGTGTCCAGATGAAACAATGTTAAAGGTGTCTGACATGCTGAAATAAAATTTATCTATTTGTGTGGCCATTGAAGCCACGGAACTGTGGGTTGCTCCCTGCTGATCTCCATCGGGGGACAGATGTAAGGTTAAGCAGTCATGTGCAGGATGTGATGATTCCTTGGGTGAGCCCAAGACCAGAGTGCCATGTGTCGCATTTATGGAAGCCTCCTTGGACGGCAAGGAATGCCCATGATCTGCCCCTGCCTTCCTTTGAGGATCTTTCAGTCTACACACAGTTGCCCTTGGACGGGTTCTCCAGAAGCAACACCTGTAGAAAAGGAGACAAAGAAAACACAACACAAATAAGGCTGCATTATGTCCTACGAAACTATCTGGGAAGTTAACCTGGTCAACAAATGCTCGATGAAGTCACAAATATGGCAGCTTTGCTGTAAACAGGCACAATACCTTTACGTCACTGGGACAAACAAAAAGATAAAGATATCTTACATCATGAAAATATCCAAGGAAGACTTTCTCCTGCAGCGGCCTGACAAACTCTCGGAGGAAATGCAGCCAGTGCCTCTCGAGTCCAATTTGGTTCATATGGATGTCGACTGTGGGGACATTCTCGTAGCCACCAGCGAGTCGTGGATCCTGTCAGCAAAATATACAAATGACATTTTTAACGTTCGAATTAAAATAAAATTATGATAAACTAATGATTCAAAGCTGTGAGCAGAGGGGCATATTGGGGACGATACCAGCTTTATCCAAGAACAAGGAAATGCAACTTGAAAACTTCATGTTATGGAAGGGTAGACCCGGCCCTTAGCCTTGGCTGGTATCTCGTCTAGAAGTGATGTACTGCTCTAAATGTTATGATGCTTCGTTCAAACCTGGTTAATTCCAAGAGTAGTTCAGAGGACATCAAACTAAACAATCACATTCTCAAAAAAGTGTGCAGCTTTACATGCCTAGGGATTAAGATGGCATCTACAGGGGATTCAGCTCCAGAAATATCATTTAGAATGGCACATGCATAGAGTGCCTTTACCAAACTGTCAAACATCTAGAAGCAAACACATAAAACTTAAGATCTCCAACTCTTGTGTGACTCCAGTACTAACTTATAGATGCGAGAGTTGGAAAGCAACAGTAGCTCTTGATTTTTAAAAAAGAATAAGACAATTTTGAAAACAGTCTTAGAAGAATACTGAATCTCCACTGGAAAGATTTAAGATCTAATACGCAAATAAGACAAGAGACCAAGCGAGAAAATGTATCCAGTTTTATAAGAAGGTTTTGCTGGAACTACATCGGCCATGCACTCAGAATGGATAAGACAAGAAGACTCCACCATTAAGCCCTCATATGAGCACCAGAAAGCAAAAGAAAACGAGGAAGACAAAGAGAGACTCTGCGTAGAACCATCATCAGAGAAGGCTCAACTATGGGCCTAATGAATCTCCAAGACCTAAATGATGTGGCAATGAACCGCCAGAGATGGAGAGCCATGACCTCTGCCCTAGGCGCCATCTTAGGCTCAAGAGGAAAGAAAACTAACCACCCACCAGTCCCCAAGAAAATATAGTGGTCCCTAAACTTCAGGTTTTTTTTTTATTTCATTCAACTTTTGAGGGGATAGCATAATGCAGCACCTGCAGGACCAACTGAAAACAACCACTGGCCCATATGTTCTGTAGTGCTGTTTCAGGGGTTTACTGCAGAACCACCCCTAAGCCAAACTCATACCCAAAGAAGATACTGAATGTTGAGTTAATAATTGATATAACAACACTAGGGACATTCCCATAAGCGCTCTGTCCTCATCTTCAGCAGTCAGCAAATAGTTTCAATTCCGATAGTGCCAGTAGCAGTCTGATTCTATGTCCATCATACCTCTCCTCTGACTGTAGATCTTGGTCACTCTCAGCTGTACCATTCTCTCCGGACCATAATGGTCAGTTCATGCCTCTGCACTGTTTCACTTGCTCTCAAAGGCCTCGACCACATCTAGCTCATCACACACAAATTCACCACTTATTGGTGAAGATTCAACTAATCTGTCTGCCTGTTCATTTCCCAATATTCATGCATGATCCTGAGAAAATATCCAAAGAACGCTAGCTACCCGGTACCTCTGAAGTGATACTTGCCACTTTGGACGGAGCATGCTCGTCTAGACCTTTGTTAACATGCTTTGTGAGTTGGTTTCAATCACGACATGTGTGTGCAACTGGTTCTCAAGCCAGTAGAAAGCTGCAGCGACTGCCTCCACCTCCATTCTTGCACTAGATGTTGTAGTATCATACAGTATCATGCTGTACTAAGCGTCATCCATTTGCTTTCAAAATGAAGCCCTGCATACTTTTTCTGACTCTCAACACAGTATAGATAATTTAATCTTCTGAGTGTGAGTGATCATGAATCAACTATTAAATTTCTGGTTCTGCAGCGCCTGCTGGCCTATCCCTGCGCTCCTTATATGATTAGAACCCTTCACAAGTTTGCTTTTTTCCTCAGACACTTGCACCTACTCCTCTCCTCTCTTATTTTTTTTTTTTTGCTTAAGCATACACACATCTCTAATTGTCTTCTGTTTGTGAAATCGAAGACTACTCTCTAATCAGACTGTGACCCTTGGCTGTATCAAGGGCTTCACAAATAGGGTGACTTTTGTCTGCAGCTACCCCCTGAGGTATGACCTAGCCCCTCTGCAAAAGTCGGCAGTGCAAAGATGTATTACATACAAACTACTGGGATGTCTCTTAAACATCCCAGAACCAATATGACATTTTTAAAATTGGAACAAACCCAGACACATACCTCATTCTTGCCACTGGACCATTTCCCGAAATGCTCAAACTCAGCCACAAACTCGTCACAAAATGTGTCGCTGACGATGGGGAACCAGTAAACATCGGGGCAAGGCTGTCAGAGATCAGAGAAACATCCAAATTATTGGTGATGTTTACATCCTAGTTGTCAAGTTGTTCGTTCATACAGACATTCCCCACAGGGATTTATAAGGATCTTATTTTGGGTGTTAAAAAAAACATAAGCCCTATATGTCATCTAACATCTGATGCAAGACACCTCGCAGAAATTAGAACAAGAATTGCCATGGAAAAGGTGGCCTTTAACCTTTAGCAAACTGCAAAAGAAACTCACGGATAAGATAACTGCAGTGAGAAAACGGATGTTAAAAGGTAATGTAGAACCTGTGCTGTTATATGCGTGTGAGACATGGACAATAAGGCTATGTAGAACCTGTGCTGTTATATGCATGTGAGACATGGACAATAAGGCTACGTACAACCTGTGCTGTTATATGCATGTGAGACATGGACAATAAGGCTATGTAGAACCTGTGCTGTTATATGCATGTGAGACATGGACAACAAGGCTATGTAGAACCTGTGCTGTTATATGCATGTGAGACATGGACAATAAGCAGACAGAGAAGCTGAAAAAACATTTAGTCAGCAGAGATGTGGATATGGAGAAGAATGAAAAGAATATAAAGGAATAAAAGAAGAAATGAAGCGGTCCTCATCCCCTTTATGAAAGTCATAAACTTATTTGAACAATTAGACACAGACAGTCAGTATTTTTTGGACATGTTATGAAGAAGAATGGACTCAATAATCTGGTAACAACTGGCAAAATTAATGGAAAGACAGCAAAAAGAAGACAAAGAGAGAAACATCTGGATGGCTTGGCCCCAGAGATGGTGGCGAGACAAAAAAAACCTGACCTGATCCGTGATTCTGGTGATTGGCTGAGGTGGCGAAACATGACAGCCACAGCCTACTGGTAAGGCACATGATGATGATGATGATGATGATGAGAGATCCTTACCATTTCAAAGACAGCATTCTCCTCAAGAGACTTGGAATAGTTGGGATGTATGTACCTCTTCTCCCAATCCTGCAGACAGACAATAAGTAAGCCTTTATGCCAGGTTTTATTTATACCATTCTCAGACTGCCTGTCTCCGTGAGGGTTCCCAGGGCCCCATTGTGGGGAAAACAAGAGTAGACCCACTGCCTCCTCATCAAGCATGTCGTAGGAATCGGCTAACTGGTTGGCTTACATCGAAATCGGAGTGCATCTGCCACAGCGGCAAGGAATTACCAGCTGCACACAAATAAGCCAGTAAAGCGGATGAACACGCAAAACTCAGGCCCTGGTACAATGCCAAGGTTCAAGTAGACGAACAACCAGGACTTTCCACCGGAGCTCACAGCCAGTGAAGAAAGAAGACTGTCTAGAGACTTTTTAAAAATAACATATCAGTTACAGTTCAGAAAACTGTTAGGGCAGTGGGAGGAGATCTTGGATGGGGTAAGGTGAACCCACGACCGGCTCTAGCTGACGGGCCGTGCTGCTGACGTCACCGGGTCTGGCTAACGATGCGTTGGCGCAGCGGTTCTCAAAGAAGAAATAAACTATTTCCGACACTGGCGACGGAAGAAAACTTCAATTTCAACTTTTAAGTATCTTCATGCCTTCTTTAATAATTTCACAATTTTTAGCCGACTTTTCTTGATTATTGCCGCAGCACCCCTGGCATACGCTCACGACACCCTAGGGTGCCTCGGCACCTAGTTTGAGAACCGCTGCTTTAACGCATCGTTAGCCCGACCCGGTGACATTAGCAGCCAGGCCCGTTAGCTGGAGTCGGTCGTGGTTGAACATACAATTAGAGGTGTGTGAAGACCTGAACAAAAAAACTGGGCAATGAGGAGTGTGGTCAAGATTTCCCTAACACAAATCAGACTTGTGTAGGATTGTAATCAGATTGACCCCAGGTGCAGAGTGGCCAGCAGGCACTGCAGAACCAGAAATTCAACAACTTATTCTTGACAATTCCCACCCAGGAAATGTTACCATCTATACAGAGGAAGTCCATGGGGGTACATCCTGTAGTGCAGAATGACATGGAGGAGTCTTGCATCTGGTGTCACAAAAGCAGCATCAAAGAATGGGGTATCCCCCTTATACACAACACAATGGCCTTAACTTCCTCTCATGAGATAAATGTTGAATCAAGATTCGACATCACAGCACTCGGGACACTATATCTGCCTGCTTATTTCCCAACACATCGGCATGGCCTAGAGAAAATATCCAAAGGATGCTAACTACCCGGGACCTTTGAAGTGATGCTTGCCACTCTGCACAGAGCATGCCTGTCTCCACCTTTCTCAATTTGCTCTGTGAGTCAGTTACAATGACCCCATGTGTGTACAGCTGATTCTCAAGCCAGCAGAAGGCAGCAGTGACTGCCTCCACCTCCATTCTCAAACTAGTCTCATGAGACTGAAATCCTGCGCCCCCAGTGTAGAAATAAAAATTCAGAAAACAGCCTGTCAAACATTACATCTTCATCTTTTTTCCAGTTCACCAGCTGTAAACTCAGGTGGAAAGTTTTGATTGTTCGTCCACTTTTGGATTCTAGTCCTGTTCCAGAAATTGAGTGTTGCCTGTACATCCATTTCACAGGTTTGACTTGTTTGCATGCAGACTGATGGTTCTTTGCCTCTCAGACAGATCTACTCCAACTTCCAAGTAAGCTCCCAATTAGCTGACTCTTATGACATGGTTTTGGGCCGGCAGTCAGTTCATTCTTTTTTTCTCCACAATGGGGTCCTGAAACCCACACGGGGTCAAACATTACAAAAGCTTCATTTTAAAAAAGTTAAAAAATAAATAAATAAATAAAAGCAACTGACCAAACGATTGTTGAAGATTTCCCAAAGTTCTGGATGCAAACGGGTAGTGTCAAACTCATCAGGATAAACCAGATGGCCCCAGTCGTCCTGATTGGTCAGGTATAAGAAAATTACCTGTTGGCAGACAAGTCTTCAATTAATATTTGACCATCACAGTCACATACATTTTTAATGGACTGATTGGGCTTTCACCATCTTCATTACTATTTGACAGCTGTGGTAGTGTGGTGGCTAGACATACACCTGCCAGCAGAAGGTCTAGGGTTCAAATCCAAATTGAGACAGTTGTTTATTTCTTTTTTTCAAAAACTGATATTGGCTCTCAGGTAGACCCTGCATAAAATAGATACCTGGAATTGTTCTAGGAAGTAAAGCAGGCTAGCACAATGCTGACCCATAGAGTGTAAACTTGTGTATCGTCTTCTTCTTCACGTTCACCAGCTGTAAACTCTGGCGGAAAGTTGTAGCTGTTCATCAACCTCTGGGCTTTATTTTTATTCCAGAACTATAGTTTTGTGTGCAGATCCATTTTACAGATCTAGCTTATTTATAAGCGGACTGATGGTTCCTCGTCTGTAAGGCAGATGCACTCCGACTTTGAAGATAACTCCCCTAATTAGTTGCCTTGTATGAAAAGCTTGTTAGGAAAGCCTAATCCTTTTTTTCCCCTGCCAAAATGGAGCCCCAGAACCGACAAAAGAAGTTCTGTTTAAGTCTTTCTTTTTCTAGCCTGGAGTTTTATGTGTATGAATTGTGTTTACCATCATCATAAATGGTACAAATACACAGTGCTAAAAGCTACTGTTACATTACAAGCAGCATACAAACCATGCAGGAGCCACTCGTCATTATATTGACCAAACAGAATGGGTGTTACTAGCCTAAAAACATTTGCAGACAAACTCAGGAGGATATCGGAACACTTATGGTCATGTCCAATGTGCGATGAAGATGGTCTCAAAAACGAGCAATGAACAATGAGCTGTTGCTACAATTACTACAACTATGAATACCCCAGCAACAACCAGCAACGACTATAAACCAACCTTATCTCTGGCAGCCTGGCAGAATGACATGTCAGGGTCAACATTTGTGTTGTAGGTGTAAGCATCCTTGAGTGCTGGCAGATGGCGGCCCTGTACCAGCATGATGTTGGTGATGTGCGGGACATTCCACAACCCACTGCATGGGACAACAAGAAAACATTAAGGGTAGGCATATCATATTTGTGAGTACTGTTGTCTTACGTTTCACATATACATTTAGATTAAAAACCCCAAAAAATTCAGATGATTTGGACATCTAACAAAATTACTACAAAATAGCAAAACAGAGTTAACTATGTTTAGGCGCAAATAAAAATTATGTCAGTAGGTGCTGAAGGAAAAAAGAGATGAAGATGAAAAATAATATGTGAGGAGGAGAAAGAATGGTGAAGAATAGAGACAGGAAGAAAAAGAAAAGGTCATATTATGAAGGAAGAGGAGAAGCAGTTGGTAATATGTATTCTAACTAAACACTTACACCTTGATGTAATTGACAATATCCATGTAATCCTCAGACCGAGCGTAGAAGCCATCAGGGTTGAGAGCACCCCAAAAGTTGGACCATAATTTGGATGGACGTTTCAGCATGGGTGCCACAATCGATCTGAAATACAATGATTGAAATCTACCTTTCACTCTGCAAACTCAGTGTCATGTCATAAATCTGATCTATTGGAAAATTCACAAATTATCTGCTGTGCTTGAAGTTAAACTAAAATAGGTCTGTCGGTTGGCAGAATACACATTTGCCAAGCATGTGCCTACCTCAGAGTCAACACAGACACATGACACCCACTGCATAATGAAATTAGGAAGACAAAAGGCAGCAGGTTAAAAAGAGAAAAACAGTGGATGGGTCAGGATAAATGTGGACAAACAACCAGAACTTTCTGCCTAAGTTTACAGCCAGTAAACATGAAGAAGAAGAAGAATAGGATTGTCCTTTTGTGGGTTCCATGTGCCAAGTCAGAAAAACAAAACAGATTCACTGCCCTTTAACAAGCATATTGTGAAAGGTAATAAATTAGGGGTGTTGCGAAATTGGATGTTTATGACAGAAAGGCAAAGATATCACAGTTGAACCAGCTGTAAACCACAACACAATATGCCAACCACCCTCTAAAGGTTGAACACAGAAGAAGAAAAAGAAGAAGAAGAAGAAAAAGAAGAAGGAGGAGGAGAAAGAAGAATGAGGAGGAGGAGGAAGAAGAAGGAGGAGGAGGAGAAGAAGAAGAAAAAGAAGGAGGAGGAGAAAGGATGAGAAGGAGAAGAAGAAGAAAAAGAAGAAGAAGAAGAAGAAGAAGAAAAGAAGAAGAAGAAGAAGAAGAAGAAGAAGAAGAAGAAGAAGGGGGAGGAAAGATGAGAAGGAGGAGGATGAGAAGAAGAAGAAGAAGAAGACAAGAACTGCACAGGATAGACATGACACAACAGAATGATGATAAGGATACATTCAAGTGCTACCTTACCTATGATGAGGATACACTCAAGTGGTGCCTTACCTATGATGAGGATACACTCAAGTGGTGCCTTACCTGTTCTGTTTAATTAAATCTTTCAAACAACTGGGCTTGGTAATCTGCACCACGGAGTCCACCGTCAGCAAATAATGGCAGTTTTTGGTGACACACTCGTTTCTGAAAGCATCAATATGAAGACACAATTAATTCAAGTATGAAATATAAATAGTAACCTACCGATCACAATACATAAAACACTGATAAGACTGTCTCATACAGTTCTCAAACATGGAGTGAAATTAAAATAGACAAAGCCTTATTACAAACGACTGAGACAGTATTTCCACGAGTATTCAGGCCCATCAAATATTAAAACAGCGGAGCATATAGTTAGAAGCAACAATGAATTTCATAATCTGTTTAAATCACCATTTATTGCTTGCATCATGAGGGCTAATAGACCAAATTTGTTGGAGCATATAGAGTAGCGCACTTAAGGTCAATATATACAGTCACTGGAGGGGCAGGGGCCGACCGACACGAAGATGGGCACGGATATAGGTGACTCCTTGAATGTAAAAATGCATGAGGCGGGAGAACTGGCGAGCACCGAGTTTCTTTCAGGCAGACTGTGATGAGAGCAACGTTCTGCAAAGGACCTGCTACATAATGATGATGATGATGGTATTGTTTATTGTCTTATACAGATGTGAGAGTTGGACTCTTACTGTGGAAATGGAAAGGAGGATTCAGGCTTTCAAATGTAAAGGCTATTGACGCATTTTAGGAATTAGTTATTTAGAACACAGAATAATAAATTGGTCAAAAATATAAAATTTGCAGGACATGCGGAGCCTCTCCTGGCCGCGGTAAAACGTCACAAGCTAGCTTGGTTCAGGCATGTGTTGAGACTTGATCCCATTGCAAAGACTGTATGTACTTCAAGGAACATTGGGGAGTAGACGAAGAACAGGAGGGCAAAGAAGAATCTGGAATGACAACATCAAGAAATCGACAGGACTAAGTTATCATACACTTATTCATCAAGCTGAGAAAGATGGTGGGCTTCCATCAATACACCTCCACAACCCTAACTGGTCACAGGTTATGTTATGTTTTGTTATAGAGAGAATGCCAGATGACATAGATTTTTTTTTTAATGTGACAAAAGCTGAACTGGTGTAGACCACAAAGCAGACCAAGAAGACAGCGGAGAGACAGATAATATACAGGTAGACCAACACCTGGAGTCACCACCTGGAAAAACTAAGGCCAATCACATAGATAAATGAAGATGGGTGATAACAGCAACAGAGCTTGGAATGCTAAAGAAGAAATTATAGAAATGCCCTTCTTCTTTCTCTCTATTTGCTTTCACACTTTCATGTTCTTCTTAAAATCCATGTATACATATTTTAAAGAAAAAAAAATCTAGATCAATACATTTTTTTTTTAAACATTAATTAGTGTCCTATGTAAAAATTTTTTTTTTTTTTTTTAAATATTGTTTTGCCACAAATTGCCATGGGTTCATGTACCCTACTTTTTTTTTTTAACAGCTTTCATGGGGTGAAAATGTTTATTCATTCCTGTTCCATGGTTGTATTATTTTAACTCCTCTGACCCAAACACTGATTACATAAATACATTCTGAGGACAGAACGAGTTAATCCAGTTTTTCCCACTTCTCATGACGTACCTAAAGAGTGTAGATTATCTTCTGATGCAGGGAACCAGTTCACTTTGTGATTATATGTCAGTCTTGCCTTTCCTCTGAGTGTAGATTATCTTCTGATGCGGGGAACCAGTTCACTTTGTGATTATATGTCAGTCTTGCCTTTCCTCTGAGTGTAGATTATCTTCTGATGCGGGGAACCAGTTCACTTTGTGATTTATATGTCAGTCTTGCCTTTCCTCTGAGTGTAGATTATCTTCTGATGCGGGGAACCAGTTCACTTTGTGATTATATGTCAGTCTTGCCTTTCCTCTGAGTGTAGATTATCTTCTGATGCGGGGAACCAGTTCACTTTGTGATTATATGTCAGTCTTGCCTTTCCTCTGAGTGTAGATTATCTTCTGATGCGGGGAACCAGTTAACTTTGTGATTATATGTCAGTCTTGCCTTTCCTCTGAGTGTAGATTATCTTCTGATGCGGGGAACCAGTTAACTTTGTGATTATATGTCAGTCTTGCCTTTCCTCTGAGTGTAGATTATCTTCTGATGCGGGGAACCAGTTCACTTTGTGATTATATGTCAGTCTTGCCTTTCCTCTGAGTGTAGATTATCTTCTGATGCGGGGAACCAGTTCACTTTGTGATTATATGTCAGTCTTGCCTTTCCTCTGAGTGTAGATTATCTTCTGATGCGGGGAACCAGTTCACTTTGTGATTATATGTCAGTCTTGCCTTTCCTCTGAGTGTAGATTATCTTCTGATGCGGGGAACCAGTTCACTTTGTGATTATATGTCAGTCTTGCCTTTCCTCTGAGTGTAGATTATCTTCTGATGCGGGGAACCAGTTCACTTTGTGATTATATGTCAGTCTTGCCTTTCCTCTGAGTGTAGATCATCTTCTGATGCGGGGAACCAGTTCACTTTGTGATTATATGTCAGTCAATGGTCACTCCCCAGTGCACCATTCTCTTCACACCGTCATGATAAACCCTGCTTCCACATTTCTGACTTGCCTTCAGAGGGCCCCGACCATATATGGCTTGTCATGCATCCATTAATGAATAGTACAGGAGACAGACAGCGGCGTCCGTGGCTAAGGCGTTGCGAGTCGGACTCGTAATCCAACGTACCGCGATCGAAACCCACTGCGGGCTGCGTGGATTTTTATCGTGGTATGGGACGTCGCAGGTCGACCCAGCCTCAAATGGGTACCAGGATGGGCTGTCCTGGGAAAGTAAAGACAGCTGGCGTAATGCTGACCACATTACCCACCGAGTGTTGATGGTCTGTAAAAATATGGACGCTCTTCGCATATGCCCAATACGCCTAAAGGCGTGAAAGGGATCTTTACTTTACTTTTTTTACAGGAGACAGACAGGCAGGCAGGCAGGCACGCAGACAGACAGGCAGACAGAGAGAGAGAGAGAGAGACACACACACACACACACACAGAGAGAGATTAGAGAGACACACATACACACATAGAGAAAGAGTGAGAGAGAAAAAGAGAGAGAGAAAAAAAAAGAGGGGGGGGGGGGAAAACAGACAAAGAAGCAAACATAAAAAGAAAGACCGAGTGAAAGAGACTATGACAGAGAAAACTGTGTGACCACTGACATTGCCCAGTTCCTGCCAACACCCTCTGCTACACTGTCAGATGGGGACACAACTCGGACACTCCGGTACAATGTCCCATTCTCCTGTACAAACTTTTCTACTTCTTTGTTGTGAAAGTTGACCTGCAAGTGAAAACAGGACTCATCAATGCTTGTCTCTTTTTCAGTCAGTCACTCTCTCGCCCTTTCCTTATCTCACTTACTTACTCACTCTTTCATTTGCTCATTCTCTTTCTCACTAAAAAATATTTCTTCAACTTACTCTCAATCTCTCTGTCTCACCCACTAACTCTCTTGCCCTTTCTCTTAATGAATATTTTTTTGCTCTTTCACTTCCTCACTCACTCATCAATTCTCACCTTTTCTCTCTCTCTCTCTCTCACCCCTCTTTTTCTCACTCACTCATCTACACTTTGACTCACTCACATACTCTTTCTGGAGCAACTTAACTTTATATCAATATTTAACTCTTTTATATTAAAATCATCATCATAAACCAATTCTGCCGTTAAGCATCACGGGGAGGAATAATTTGCAATCCAGTGCATTTTGGGTGACATTGTCGTGCCATAAGCAGAGTGTCTTTAATGTTGTAGATCCATTTTTTTTTTCCACAGCTGTCCTCTTGATCTTGTAGCTGATTTTCTTGTTAAATGTAGTGCTTGTGATAGTATTTGATCTAGCTGAAATCTAACAAGATGGTCAAACCACCTGATCTGATGATTCCTGATGAATTTAGTACAAGGTGTGGTCCCCAAATTTCATTGATAGTATCATAATTTACTCAATCTCGGATGGTTAATTATAAGATCCAGATGAGGATGTGGACATACAGAAGAATAGATCGTATTTCATAGAAATAAAATCAAAATACAGTTTCTGGGGAGACTGTGAGTAAAAGAGAATTCTTGTTTTAAAAAAAAAATTAGAGGAAAAATAAGTCAAACAGGATATTTTGAACACTAAAAGACATAAGTTTTATAAAAAGCATACTGAATAGAACAATAACAAGCAGTCAAGCAAGAGGTAGGCAATGACTCAAGAGGGAGGATTACAAACAACAGGATATGGACAAACAGCAGTCTGTGAGTATACAACCACAGACAGACAGTGAAAGTTATCTAGTATTCTACCAAGGAACAAGTTGATCAATCTAGTTTATGAGTGACTGCTTCGGTCACCTCCACATTTCTGAGTTATACACTAGTGGAAAGTTACCTAGTATTCTAACTAGGAACAAGTTGATCAATCTAGTTTATCAGTGACTACGTTGGTAATTCTCCACATTTTTGAGTTATACACTAGTGGAAAGTTACCTAGTATTCTAACTAGGAAACGGTTGATGAATCTAGTTTATCAGTGACTACTTTGGTAATTCTCCACATTTCTGTGTTATACACTAGTGGAAAGTTATCTAGTATTCTACCTAGGAAACAGTTGATCAATCTAGTGTATCACTGACTACTTCGGTCATTCTCAACATTTTTTAGTTATACACTAGTGGAAAGTTACCTAGTATTCTACCTAGGAAACAGTTGATCAATCTAGTTTATCAGTGACTGCTTCGGTCATCTCCACATTTCTGAGTTATACACTATTGGAAAGTTACATAGTATTCTACCCAGGATAAAGTTGATCAATCTAGTTTATCAGTGACTGCTTCGGTCATCTCCACATTTCTGAGTTATACACTAGTTGAAAGTTACCTAGTATTCTACCCAGGATAAAGTTGGTCAATCTATACTCAACTGGGGGATGAGGGCCAGAAGAAGAGGGCAGCCTGCTGATCTCCAGTTAAAGCTAAACAGAAATGCTACATCGGTGGATAAAGAGCAAAAATAGAAGACGCAAACCAGGCTGATTTTACATCAGAACAAAATTAAAAGCTAAGTTAGGCAGCAGTATTAAATAAATAAGCATTTACATACATACAACTTTGTGAAAATATATTAAACATTATAGGCAGACAACAAATCAAATGGTTTGGCCAAGTAACAAGACTGGCATCAGACAGGGCACCACAGAAAGCAATGTTATACAGATACAGCCGTAACAGAGCCAGAGGTCGACCACGCAGAAGATGGAATGCAGAAATATTTGAGACACTGAAAAGTACTTTATACAAAGCGAACAGAAATGCCTGTTCCAGAGATATCTTCCTGCCCTGACACCTCAAGACATGTCAGGAACAGAGAAAAGAAGAAGAAGAAGATACACACATATATACAGTATTATAGATACAGTTAGACTTGGGAGCCACCATGGAGTAGTGGCTAAACACTTGCCTGTGAATCTGCAGGTCATGAGTTCAAGTCCCACCAAGTGTCGATAGGTCTATAAAATATAAGTCTAGCCCTTTATTCCCAACCACTTGAAGGTGTGGAAAAGGGTCATTTACTTTGTAAAGTATTACTTAAACAAACATATATAAACATTTTTATCAGTATAGTATTTTTTAAACAAACATGTACATATATAAATGCATTACTATTTTAAACAAACATATACTTTCAACAAACATATACGTAGATTATTACTGATATAGACACAAACATATTCATACATACATTATTATGGATATAGACATCAATTTTATCCTTGGGATAATCAAGTGAAGCCACTCTTTGAAAGAACTCTCGTAAAAATGGGGTTGCTTGTTCCACAAACAGAGCTATCAGCACAGTAGGATAATCCGCTTCCTGTGGATATCAAAACATGTGTAGTTATAGAGGATAGAAATCTAATTTACGAGTTACAGCAGTAACCTTTCTTTAGGTTTGCTGTCTACTTTTCATTTAGGAAATTAACTGCCAGTCTACTTTTCACTGCAGCAAATACTGGCATGCTAATTTTCATTTCAGAAATTACTGGCAAGGTTACTTTTATTTTCATAAATCACTGGCAAGGCTACTTTTATTTTCAGAAATCACTGCCAGTCTATCCATTTTCATTAAACAATGGCAGTCTACTTTTCATTTCAGAAAAAAAAAACTGCCTGTCTGTTGATTTTCAGAAATCACCGCCAGTCTACTTTTCACTTCAAAGCAACTGGCTGTCTACCCTACAGATCAGTGTTCTTCAACCTCTTTTACTTTACACCTGTGATTCTGAAAACAAGGAAAACCCTTTCAGGGACCAATGATAGCTAACCAATCAAACAAAAGGACAAAACAGAAACAAGAAAATATGTGGATAACAGTTTATTTGTTATATCAAATATCACAAAAAGACAATTCACAGTCATTTGCTGCTGAACAGAGGTTCCACAATCTTTTGTACATGGCAGGAGTGTTATTTCAAATAGATAAAAGTGCTGCAGTAACACCTGTTCAGTTTCTCTGTTTGGTTTTAATTACACGACTGAGAAAATCTTTTTGCACACAGAAAGAAAGTCGACAAAATGACCAACAATCTGATGGCTCTCTAACTCAAAGACAGGTAAACTGTGTTTTTCCTCCTAATAATATCCCAAACTGAGACATGCAGCCGCTACAAGATTTGGCCAGCTAGAAGAAATATCTGGCCAGCTGCCAGAACACTGGATGAAAAATTTTACAAACAATATCTTTTTTTGTTTTTAATGCTCTGCCTACCAGTGGTTTTCAGAAGAGAAGGCAACAGGCCTCTATAAAGGCTGAGATGTAATGCACAACCTCTTAAACTGAAAATTAGGTGTAACTGCACACCACATAGAATTGGAACACAAATAAGATAGAAAAAAAAAAAATTCACTCTACAGTATAACATGCTGTCAGGCAGCTGAACATGGAGAAAGTCTGACATTTTGGTTTATCAGGAAATCGCCAATGGCTACAACCACCCCCCCCCCCCCCCCCCCCCCCCCCCCCCAATCCATACAATTTGACTTCCATCAGAATGCATACTGGCCAGACCTGGGATCTCTCTACTGCAGTTGAATTAAGAATTTCAGAATCGACATGACCGCACTCAGGACACCCCCTTGGCAATTATCCTGAAATAACATTAGAATTAAAAATACTTGACTTGGATTTAAAACTATATAATCTAGAGCTCTATACTTCCTCAATAGAGCTCTATACTTCCTCAATAGAGCTCTATACTTCCTCAATAATGTCAGATGGCAGAGGAGTAAAAACTATACACAAGGGAGATGTAGAATTGTGTACATGAAAATGCAGATTTCTGCATCTGAAAAAAAAAAACCAGACATACCCTAAAAAAAACCATAGTGCATAGTCCATCTCAATCTTCAGCAGCAAGAGAAGAGTTCCAATTCCGATGGCACCAGTAACTGTCTGATTTTATCTCTGTCTCGCTTTTTCCCCGAGTGTTGAGCGCCGGCTGGATCCCCTTGTAACTCCTCGCAGTGCCATTCTCCCGAGACCATAATGATCGATCGCCCGTAGCTGGGATAGAACCCATCAACCCAGCATTTTGAAGTGTGTTTGCAACATCTAAGCCACTGACGCTTGCCACTATATACACTGTATATTAGGTCCATGGTGTTAGACAAATCAACATTTTATAATACAGGTGTTATGGTCGATTTGATGCTAGGTGCTTTTATCTTCTAGAAAATGTCCTGCCACTCATTTAAGGCTGCGCCAACTTGGGCCTAGGGAAATGATAATAGCAGAAAATAAGCAGATAGTCTAGCTACCTTCACAGAAGACAAATCCAGCAAATCCTCCTTACAGGAAAGGCAGCCATTACTGACTGTCCACCCATCAGCCAGGTAGTTGGCCAGGCGGTAAAACTCTGGCTGTGGAAATAAGTCAAATTAAGTAGTCAAAGAATCCTTTTTTAGAGCATCATATATATATGTTGACAAAATGTAAGAAAACACATAGCATTATGGTTGGAATGGAGACAAATTAAAAGTGTTAACCTGTTTTTGAATACATGTAGAATTGTGTACATGAATATGCAGATTTCTGCATCTGAAAAAAAAAAACAGACATACCCTAAAATAAACCATAGTGTATTTTTTAAGCAAAAATTAATATAAGACCTGGTCCTATTTTCGGGGAAACACAGTAATAAATGGTTTGCTGGAAAGGTTAGACATAAAATATGGGATGAATTCAAAAGGAGTAAAGAAATAGGAGTAATAACTGAGCAAACACTAGTATCGATAGTTATAAGTCAGAGAAGATGACACTATATTGGACACATCCTGAGAAGAAAGTAGCAGAGAATCACCAAACAGGCAGTAAAATGGAAAACAAAGGGATTAAGGAGGCAAGGATGCACAAAAGAAACCCACTCAAGGCTGGGTCAACCTGGGAGCCAAAGTAATTTTTGAAACAAGTACGGCTCCACCAGGGAGCGAACCCACGACCTTCCGATCCGCGGCGAGCGTCTAGCCGCTCCGCCATGGCAATTATCCTGAAATAACATTAGAATTTAAAATACTTGACTTGGATTTAAAACTATATAATCTAGAGCTCTATACTTCCTCAATAATGTCAGATGACAGAGGAGTAAAAACTATACACAAGGGAGATGAATGGTCGTAGACCATGAGGCAGACCAAAAAGATAATGGAGAGATAACGTCCCGACAGATCTGCAAACACCTGGTGTCACCAACTGGAAAGAGAAGGCCAACCATAGAGATGAACAGAGGCAGGTGATATCTGCAGCAATGAACCTCAAGGGTTCGGAATGCTGAAGAAGAAGAAGATACTTCCTCAATTTATATAATACTTCATTGATGTGGCACCTTTCCGACTTTCCTGAGGATAACGTTATATTGTGTGCTATGAGGAGGCATAGGACTCACAGCTCATGGCAATGGCGTTGTGTGATTAGCAAAGACTCGGCCACGTTGAGAAAAAAATTTCAGTTACAGCATGGGATTTCAGGACCATCGTTGTCAACATTTGTGTGTAGCGTGTTTCTCTTCAGACGCTCAGCTTTCATCCCTTCTGCGATTATTTATTCCTTCAATCTTATTCCCTTCCTGATGTGCCCCCTCCGCTCAACATGATCAATGACATCCCCCCCCCCACATGTTCATCTCAATACCTGTAACATTCATGTCCTGCTTGCGCATATCTTATAACGCTACATGCAGAAATGATAATCTGTTTGCAACACAATATCAACAGTACCTTAATGGGCCCGTTTCCATGCACAACGATGGGGCTGGTACCCGTTTTAATATTGTACAGGTAACTGTGTGAGCCCTTGTATTTCAGCACTATCTCACCTGAAAGAAATTATCGAATATTTACTTCCTGACAACAGCAAATATAGTGCTAGGTTTTTCACTTCCTGACAACAGCAAATATAGTGCTAGGTTTTTCACTTCCTGATGACAGCAAATATAGTGCTAGGTTTTTCACTTCCTGACAGCAGCAAATATAATGCTAGGTTTTTCACTTCCTGACAACAGCAAATATAGTGCTAGGTTTTTCATTTCCTGACAACAGCAAATATAGTGCTAGGTTTTTCACTTCCTGAAAACAGCAAATATAGTGCTAGGTTTTTCATCTTCTTCTCTGCATTGGTAAAATGCCAAAAATGACTCAATACTCTCAAGATTATGGCACCACTGGACATGAAACAAAGAATGTTCCAGCATTTGATCCTGTCGATAATAGAGTATGGACAGAATGCTTACTATATCAAAGAGTGAGCTGATGAAATTTGAACACACAAAAAAGAAACAATGTGGGAAATTCTGGGATGTACAAGAGATACCCTGGTTGTTGGTATGGGATATATACCTGCACTGCCTGCTATTACAGATAGGCTCAAAGTTCTGCAAGCAAAGTCAAATCTCAGAGTAGCTGCAGACAAGAAGCACCTCCTGCATGAAGGTAGAGCTAAGGATCACACACTGAAAAGAGGAAGGTCTTTGATGGTGCAGGCTGAAGACACAAGTAGACACGTGTGCAGGCTTGATCAATTTGGGCGAGGAGAGGAGTTGGTCAAAGTGACCAAGCAAGAATCAGATTTGTGTAGGGTTGTAATCACTTTAGGTCGTGAGTGCAGAGAATGGCCAGCTGGTGCTGCAGAATCAGAAGTTCAATAAATGATTCAAGACAATTCCTGCCCAGGTGATGTGATTATACAAATGACACTGTATTGAGAGGCAGACAAGGTGAATGGGTGTTCATAGCAAAAGCGAATGGATGTTGCTTAGTGCGCAAAGCCTGGCATATGATATCATAACGTCTAGTTTGAGAATAGAAATGGAGACAGTCACTGCTGCCTTCGACTGGCTTGAGAATCTGCTATACACACATGTCGTGAATGTAACTGACTCACAGAACTTGTTGAGAAAGGTGGAGACAGGTATGCTCTGTGCAGAGTGGCAAGCATTGCTTCAGAGATTCCTTGTAGTTAACCTCCTTTGGATATTTTTCCCAGGTAGCGCCGGTGTGTTAGGAAACAAGCAGGTAGAGAGAGTGGCCGGTTTTGCGCCGGTGAAATGATGGTAAAGAAATGATGTAAGATAAGCTAGATGTTGTGAGGGCCCTTTGGGAGTGAGTGAACAGATGCAGAGGCAGTTGTAAGGGCCCTTTGGGAGTGAGTGAACAGATGCAGAGGCACAAACAGATCATTATGGTCTGAGGAAAATGCTGCTGCAAGGAATTACCAGGGGATCTGGCAGACGCTCAACATTTAAGTGAAAAGAGAGATGGATATACAATCAGACAGTTACAGGTGCCATCGAAATTGTAACTTTACACTTGCCACTGAAGATGGGGACGGAACACTTATGGGGGTGCCCTGAGTGCTGTGATGTCAATTCCTACTTCGACATTCAACATTTTGTGCATTCAGTGGCTGTAAACTCTGATGGAAAAGTCCTGGTAGTTCTTCCACTTCTGGACTAGTCTTGTTCCAGGACTGGAATTTTGTGTGCACATCCATTTAACATATCTGCCTTATTTGTGTGCAGACTGTTGGTTCCTTGCCTCTCAGGTAGAGGCATTACAACTATGAAGGAAACAATGATCCTATCTACGTTGACGAAGCCCCAGGTAGGGAACCAGTTTCTGGGATGACTGCAGAGGATGTAGACAACATATGTTTCAGGAGCTCTGCAGCCCAAACAGGTACAATAAATAGGTCTTAAAACAGCCATCACAGAGGTGCAAAATAAATGTAATAAAGGTGTTCTCAAAATAAATAGGTTCAACCAATAGCATCCATCGGATATTTTCTCTGCGGCATGCAAGTGTGCTGGGAAATGAACAGGCAAACAGACTGGTTGATACAGAATCCCTTGGTGGTAAATTCATGCATGGCAAGCTGGATGGGGTCAAAGCCCTTTAGCAGCAACAGAATAGTGCAGATGCCCAAACAGATCAACCGGTGCAGCAGGGAGTGATCGGGGGGATCTGGTCATCACTCAACAGAGAGATGGGCATACAATCTGCTAATGGTACCATCAAACTAGAGCTCTCTACTGGCTGCTGAAGGAGGATGAAGTTCTTATGGAAACAACCTGAGTGCTGGAATGCCTGCTCTTAAATCAACTCAAATCAAAGATAATCAATTTTGAATTTAAATTTCATAATTAAAAGTCCCCCTACTCCTCCTCCTCCCCTGTTCTACTGTCACATCTTCTTGCTTACCTAAAGCAAAGTTAAGATTCTGAAAGATCTCTGCTCTGGTATCCAGCTTTATATTCCATTCATGCTGTAGATGCAAAGATATTGACAACCATAAGTATATGTACACATGGGAGGTGGGGGTGCTCATGTTGGCCTTTCAATGGCACATACGGTTCACATTCTAGTCCTTCCTTCTAATTTATTTTGTGCAATCCTTTCAATGTCATAGATGAAATCCAGTTCAGCACCTTTCGCTTCTCTCAGAAATGTTCGTCTTAGGGTTTTCTTTTTTCTTTTTAACGTCTTCGCCTCCACACAACATTTGTTTCCCATTTAAATGTAGCTGTTGATTATCCTTTCCCTTCTTCTCAAGATGCGCCAAATATACTGGCAAAATCTTTGGCTTAAAACTATTGATATCAGCGGTGGTCCAGAGATTTCTCTTACTGTTTAACCTTTCTTGAATCCATCCCATTTAGTGTTCATCAATTTTCTCGGGCATTTGTTTTCTAATGCATTTAACTTTCACACCTTTTTTTCCTCCAATTTCCTTTCTTGCAAGAGGGTGAACAAATCAATCAACTCTACAATCTTACACTGTTCTTCTGTTCTTTTTTACCCTCCACTCCACTCACATCTTTTATGGGACAGAACATTCGGTCAATACATTTGTGAAATTTAAGGTAAAACAAATTTTTTCATTTAGCCAACACCCCCCCCCCCCCCTCTCCACAAAAGAAAAAAATAATACAAACAGAATACAAACAAAAAGCAAGTATCTGTTTTAGTCAGTCTCCATGTTTCTGCTCCATACAGCAGTACAAACTTAACTTTTAAGTTTGGTATGATGGCACACTGGCACTGTAAAATTTATGGCTAACAAGCACAATAACATCAATGGCAAACTGACACAGTTAAATCAAAGGCAATTTGAAACAGTATAATAAATGGCAAGCTGACAAACACTCTGACCCTGAGTGCCCGATTGAGAAAGAGTCTGGTGTAGTACAGCTGGTCATCATCGCCATCTTTGACAGGTTGATAGTTGACCAGATCGTACACTTCCCTGGCATAGCCAATGAAACCTTTAGAAGATAAAAAGACTCATTTGCAGTGTTGTTTAAAATTATTTGAACGTTCACATGTTGCTTCTTTTGCTCCCTGTGTGAGTTCCTGGGGTCCCCTGGAAAGGAAGGGGGGGGGGGGCACTGTTTCTTAACAAGCACGTTGTAATGTGTGGCTAAGGATTTGTTGAAATCGAATACATTGAGCCGAAAGGTGCAGATAATGCTGCCTAGCTGTAAACCTCGACACCACATGAAAACAGAAGAAGCAGAACGAGGTATTTGCTTTCAGAGTTCACCTTGCCAGCTAGTTTGTTACATGTCACTGTTAAGATAGGTCTGTCATTTGACATGCTTGCGAAACAGACGCACACCAATTGTATTATTGTAACTGACTCACAAAGCATGCTGAGAAAGGTAGAGGAAGACAGGCTCCATACTGAGTGGCAAGCATTACCAGGGTAGTTAGCGTCCTTTGAATGATCATGCAGTGGGCAGACAGATTGGCTGGTTCTTCAACATTGCATGGTGAGGTGATGCACGACAGGCTAGATGTGGTCAAGGCCCTTTGGGTAAGGGTGAACAATGCTGAATGGATGAATTAATCAATCAGTGCACGCGAGACATTCCTATACTTGCTTCGTCCACTCCTCTGTTGCCAATGATGAGTTCCAACACTGATGTTACCAGCTGCATCCAGGTTGAAAGCTCATCTATTTTTCCTCTGTGTGTAGAAAATCATAGAGGAGCGACTGGCCGAACAGTTAGAATGCTGGGCTCTCAAGCAGGAGACCCGGTTTCAAATTCTCAGTAAGGCTGGGGATTTTTTTCTGTCGGGGGCAAACAAAAATCCTCCCCTGCACAGTTGTTCTGACAGCACTAGCCATGCGGCTGTAAACCCTCAGGCTCAAAGACCTCCCTACCTAAATTGCAACAGTGGTATAATAAAGACAGTAACTGGCAGCTTTTTCGTAGAAAATCATCCAGACCCTCTGCTTACTCCCAGCTAAATCTTCCTTTCCAAATACAGATGCTCTGTCTGTTCAGCTGCATTGTTTACTTGATCCCTGAGTGTCTTTATCATAAAGTAGCTCACTGTCCAGAGGGGCGGCAGCAGCTAATCTATCAGCTTGCTCATTACCATCACTGCTCACTTATCTAAGTCTTATCAAGCAATGCAAGCCACATTTTCTGTTTTTCTAAGTTGTGTGGAGGGGACGTATCAGGAAGTGAATGAGAATGAAGGAAGAAATGATTACAGAAAGGATAAGAGTCGAGCGTCTGAGAAGAAACACACTAAATACAAATGTTGACAACATCGGTCATGAAATCTCATGCTATAATTGTGGAAGAGTCTCATGCCTCTGTATAACGCAATATAACACTATCGTCTGGAAAGATGAAAAGGTGCCAATCAATCAATAAAATCAGGAAGAGGATTTGGATAGACAGACGTTATGATTGGTTTGAGTTGACTAGAGTTCACAGATGCAGTTTTATTTTTTTAATGGAGAGCCTAGAGATGACAACAGGAGCTATGAGCTCATGCTTTGTGCAATGCCCCTGGCAGGCGGCTAGCCATTCTGCGGAAAGAGACTGAGCAAAATGGGATAAACCTGATGCAATAAAATCGATTTTCTCAACTTTAACTTTAATTCTGTTAAAAACTTACCTCCTGAATTCAGGAACCGCTTCTCTGACTCCTTAACAATAGGATACTTGTCCTAAGAAAAGATGTAATGAAATCATGTTATCAATAAACACAAGAAATATACAAATACTTTACTGGATGCAGGGGGGTCTGGCTGACACTCAACACTCAAGGGAAAGGTGACACAGATGTACAATCAGACAGTTACTGGTATTATCAGAATTGGAACTCTTCACTTGCTGCTGAAGATGGGGACAGAGGGCTTATGGGAGAGTCCTAAGTGCTATGATATCGATTCTTAATTCAACATTCAACTGGATGCATATTTTGTGTCTAATTCTAAAAATGCGGGCCTGTGTATATGCTGAGTTAGGTATGACCCTGGCTTTACATAGTAGAGAAAAAAGAAAGAAAACAGCAAGGAGAAATAAAGAAAGGACGGAAAGAAGAATCAAGAGTGTGTATGAGACAGACAGACAGACAGACGGATAGAAATGAGCGAGAACTAGTGATAATTATATTTGTACTTTATTATTTATGGAAATATATAAATATTATGTTGTAAGACACCTATCTCTCCCACAGTGTGACTCTCGTACCACTGTCTAATAGCCACAAGAACTATCTTTTGGCTAAACCCGACTGCGCGGTGACGAACTCCATGTGGTCCGGGTTCACTTCCGGGAGGTAGGCAGAAAAGCCACATTTCCTCCCAGATTTACGGTATCTATCATGGAATCAAGGCCGAAGGGTTGCAATATCCATAGTACCGAGCCAAAGGGTTAACAACTCATGGTTTCTGGATATTTTTTTTTTTTAAATTGACCGCCCACCATAGGAATCGAACCCTGTGAAACCTTTTTGCTAACCTCTAAACCATGCGCTGTTTGGCCAAACAAGAGCACCAATGAAGAATCCAGGAGGATAATAAAATGTTCATATTGGCAAACATTAGCAAGGGCGGAAGATGGAGATGATTGGGCATTTATGCAGAATGCCTCCTGATACTGTGGCACAGAAAGGTCTTCAGTGGGTGCCAGACAGAAGACGTGGAAGACCAAAAGAAACCTGGGGAAAGATAGGAGGAAGAGAAATCAAAAAATGTAAAATGACATGAGATACGGATAGAAATGAGCGAGAACTAGTGATAATTATATTTGTACTTTATTATTTATGGAAATATATAAATATTATGTTGTAAGACACCTATCTCTCCCACAGTGTGACTCTCGTACCACTGTCTAATAGCCACAAGAACTATCTTTTGGCTAAACCCGACTGCGCGGTGACGAACTCCATGTGGTCCGGGGTTCACTTCCGGGAGGTAGGCAGAAAAGCCACATTTCCTCCCAGATTTACGGTATCTATCATGGAATCAAGGCCGAAGGGTTGCAATATCCATAGTACCGAGCCAAAGGGTTAACAACTCATGGTTTCTGGATATTTTTTTTTTTTAAATTGACCGCCCACCATAGGAATCGAACCCTGTGAAACCTTTTTGCTAACCTCTAAACCATGCGCTGTTTGGCCAAACAAGAGCACCAATGAAGAATCCAGGAGGATAATAAAATGTTCATATTGGCAAACATTAGCAAGGGCGGAAGATGGAGATGATTGGGCATTTATGCAGAATGCCTCCTGATACTGTGGCACAGAAAGGTCTTCAGTGGGTGCCAGACAGAAGACGTGGAAGACCAAAAGAAACCTGGGGAAAGATAGGAGGAAGAGAAATAAAAAAATGTAAAATGACATGAGATACCATGGACAGAAAGTAGCGGACAGGCAGGAATAGAGCTCACTTGTGAATGCCTTATGTGCCAACAACGTCATAAAAAAAAAAAGGATATAGACAGCGATACAAGAGAAAGATGTATGTTTCCTTAGACACCTCAGACTGGAAGAGAAAGAGACAAAGATGATAAAATCCCACGGACTAACTGCTAAGGCCAGGAAAAAGAGAAATCAGGGAATGTAAACGACATGCGATACCAAGGGCAACAAGCAGACTACCAGCAGCAAAGGAGATAACCTGTGTAAAGATCCCGATATGGGTTCCAATATAAATTTCCAACAGAATGGGGGAATGGATAATAACATGATTGAATGACAGTTAACAACCAGCATGTAAGAAAATGCTGTTGCCGGTCTCTGAATGCAGATTTGCATTGGTGTTTCAATAAAGTATATATGAAGCCAAAAAGAGCAACCAAGAGGTTTTGAAAGAGGCGGGACCCCGAAGACAACTTATCACAGACATCAGAAGGAGACAGTCATCATTTTTCGGCAATGTTATGAGAAGAGGGAAAATAGAACATGTTGTGACCACTGGAAAGATATGTGGAAGGAGGGATAGAGGAAGACAACGAGAGAAGATGCTTGACAGTCTTGTTGCATGGCAAGGAGGTGTGTCAGCACACGAACTGATACATGCTGCAGGAGATCGCAGATTATGGAGAGGCATGATCGCCCAGGCCAGTCGGCAAGGCACCTGATGATGACGATGATATGTGAAGCCACTATTTGCCGACGCCGACATGTACAGATGTGTGCTGCAAGTATATGACAACCTGGGAATGCCTTATGTGTCAACAATGAAAAAGATATACACAGAGATACAAGAAAAAGATGTGTTGGTTAGTTAGTTAGTTAGTTGGGTTATCATCACTCCGGACATGTCCATAGGTGCTCAGATTTCCCCTTTCGCAGTATGAACCCCAACGTCTGGTGGCTAACAGTACCAGTTCTATGTTGATTTACAAGTAACATGCCTAGTGTGTGTCTTGTTTTTTGTTGTTGCTATGCCAATCTTAACTTTTGAGCCTATAATTCTGGTGAGTGATGTGAATTCATTGTCCCCAAAGCCCTCCACCCTTCCTATCTCTCGGAGGGTATTAATAATATCAATATGATCCATAGGTTGACCGTTGGTAGTGATAGCAGATCCAGCCAGCCTATCATGTGAAGATGCATGTTTTCTTAGAAACCCCATAGTAGAAGAGAATGACACAGACGATGAAAAAACCACAAAGAACTTACTGCTAAGGATCTATCTGGCCAGCAGGTATCCTCTGCCCCAAACACCAGCCTGGACTGAAATTTGAGAAACTTCTCCAAGATGGCCTCCTTTCCATCAGTAAACACAACATCGTAACTAAAAATAAAAATAAACAGTGTATTATAAGAAGCAAGGGGGGAACCCATGGTGGCATAATGACTAGACACTTGCCTGCTGGCCCAAATGACTTGAGTTTAAATCCACACTGAGGCAGATTTTTAAAATGCACCTTCGCTGTCAGGTCCACTCAGCCGAAAATGGGTACCAGGTAATGTCCTGGGAAGTAAAGGTGGCCGACCTGGTGGTGCCTACATCATGCAATGAGTACCCGTTAGTCTTAAAAAAAAAAGTTCTAGCACTATATGTCCAATGTGTCCGGAAAATGTCCTTTATACTTTAACTCATCAAAAGTCCTAGCCGTACTAATTATATATTTAAAAAAAATGACCCACATAACTCAACCAAAATTGAACAAAATATGTTCAGTGGTTTGCAACTACTTGGCAAAATACATATAACATGATTATCACACAGCAAGCAGACTTAAGTGACTGTTTTCCCCCTGATTTGGGGACAGTCTCAGATTTAGATCTTATGTCTCAGATTATTTTTAAGAGCTCATTTTACCCTCAAATGGTCAAATTTTAGGAGCTGATTTAAATCTTGAATGGTTGTCCCTGAAAACATTCTGAGGAAAATGATAAATTTTAAGGGCTCATTTTGCTCTTAAATGGTTGTCCCTGAAAACTTTCTGGGGAAAATGATAATAAATTTTAAGAGCTCATTTTACTCTCAAATGGTTGTCCCTGAAAACATTTTAAGAAAAATTAAAATAAATTTTTAGAGCTCATTTTACTCACGAATGGTTGTCCCCGAAAACTTTCTGGGGAAAATGATAAATTTTAAGAGCTTGTTTAAATCTCAAATGGTTGTCTCTGAAAACATTATGGGGAAAATGATAAATTTTAGGAGCTCATTTTAATTTCGAATGGTTGTCCCTGAAAACATTTTGTGGAAAATGGTAACCTTAAAGCAGACTCTTCTGACTTACTTTTTCTTCTGCAATCATCTGAGAAATGGCAGCTGACAAGGTGGTTTACAGCTAGATTGCTATATCGGTGATTTTTGGGATAACACATATGAATTCACAAAACCCTTCATTAACTCTTCGAGTCCCAAAGTGTTTATCCTCACAGGCCCAAGGGGTAGGAAAGAGATACATAAAATCAGCGCATCATGCGTTAATTGGGCTTCAATGTAAGAACCTATGAACATATGATGCGTTCCTTGGGACTCAAAGAGTTAACTACCTTCTACAACATGTTTATTAAGGGGCGTAGTGTCTTTTGTTAACTTCTAAATTAGGGCCCTGGAACCCACATGGAGAGCTGAGTGACTAACCTGTCAGTAAACATAATGATGAGATTCTCATTGTTCTTGTATGGCTTCAGGGCTTCCTTGAGGATGTTGACTTTCTGCCCTCCTCCAACTGACTGCATGCTTCCTCCCTGCCAGCTGGTTCCCAGTCCAAACACCTGTGGGGAGTCATGCATACATATTATTTTGTGATAAAGGTGCTTGCTGGTTATACTGTTTTCTCATGCTGCTATGAAGTGTTTAGTTAAAAACTGATATCAGAGCACTCTGGACATTCCTCTGAGTGCTCTGTCCCCATCTTCAGCAGCCAACAAAGAATTCCATTCCAATGTAACCAGCAGAAGTTTGATTGTATGTCTGTTGTGCCTTTCCTCCTGTACAGTGATCCCCTGGTCACTCCCCATATCATCATTCTCTCCAGACTGTAATGATTCATACACACTTCTGCACTGTTCACCAGCTCCCACGTGGCTACAACCCACACATCAAGCCTGTCATGCACCATTTTACCACCAAGTTGTGCTGCACCAGCCAATTAATCTGCCTGTTCATTTCCCAGCACATCTTTATGCCCCAGATTTAAAAATCTAAAGGATGCTACTTACCAAGGACCTCTGAAGCAATGCTTGCCCCTCACCACAAAACATACACATCTCCACCTTTCTCAGCACGCTATGCAAGTCTGTTACAATGACAACATGTGTGTGCAGCTGGTTCTCAAGGCAGCGGAAAGCAACTGTGACTGCCTCCACCTCCTTATGGTATTCAGGTAAAGAATAAACAGCACCAGTCTTTTTTAGTGTGTATGCATTTTATATGGGTTTTCCAAGATCTTTCTTATCCCCTCTGTCTATTCATGGTTGGCCTCTTTCGATTTCCACTTGGTCTGTATATCATTACTTGTGGTATTATATGCCTAGTTCAGGTGTGGAACACAGACATTAAGCAGATAAGATGAGAAAAGGGAGGAAACAAGCAGAAATTTTATTTCTGACAGAAATGCAAATATCATGAGCAGAAAGATGGATAAATGATCAAGAAAAAGATATAACATTTAGGAAACAGACAATATATATAACGTAACATATATAATTTAATTCAATAGACATAATCTTACAGAAATAGATAAAACCTACAATATATAACATAATATAATACAATAGACATAACCTTCCAGAAATGTATATAACCTAAGATATAATACAGATACAACCAACATTACCTTCCAGAAACAGATATAACCTAAGATATAATATAGAATATAATACAATAGATATAATTATCAAGAAATAGATATAACCTAAGATATCATGTAGAATATAACACATTAGACACAACCTTCCCGAAACAGATATAATCTAAGATATAATGTAGACTATAAAACAATAGATATAACCTTCCAGAAATTGATATAATCTAAGATATAATGTAAAATATAATACTACAGATATAACCTACCAGAAATAGATGATACAATGTAGAACATAATTCAAGAGATATAACCTCTCAGAAATAAATGTAACATGTACAGTGATTTTTTAGAAACTAGACATAAGTAAATTAAGAACCATTTTTACGGCGGTGGTGCAACAGCAGGATAAAAAAAGACTCATATTTTCTAACCAATCAGCATTTGGTGGGTTATGTGTCCTAACATGCCAGGCACCTTTACTTCCCAAGAAATTACCAGATACCGACTTTAGGCTGAATTCTGAAAAAATATCTGCCTTGCTAAAGCCTATTTTTTTGGGGCCGGAAGGCTGGCTTCTAGCCTTAAGGCTACCATCATTATCATCATCATCTATCAGCAGGTCCTTTACAGAACGCTGCTTTCATCACTGCATGCCTGAAAGGTCTCTCTTTCTCTCACCCGATGTGCTTTCATAACCAATGCATTTTCAATGTCTTGTATCCACTTTCGCAGGGAATCTGTCTCTACAATTGTTTTCTGGAAACTTCTCTACATCACCATTCTCTCCAGGCCACCATGATGTTTCTAACATGTCCTAAATATAGGATGTTGTTGTTTTCTTCTTCTTCTTCTTCTTGTTCTATGGCAGTGATTCCCAAACTGTGTGCTGCAGCGCCCCGGGAAGATGCAACCTCTTCACAGGGGAGCGGCTAAATATTCGAAGATACGCGAGTTTTTTTTTTTAATTTTATTTATCTCTTACATACAAACAGTCATACTTTACTTAGGCTAGGGCGCCGTGGGAAACAATTGAAAAAAAAAAGGTGCCGCAACTAAAAAAAAGTTTAGGAAACACTGGTCCATGGTACTCTATAAGCATTTCAGTTCAAAAGCTCTGTTTTTTTCCTTCAATGACTGAGTTAAGAGTCCAAGATTCACATTCATAAGCTGCCGTGGAAAAGATGCATCATCTTAACATTTTTACTTATACTCATTTGCAGGTGTTGTGCCCTACCCTGTTTCAGGAAAGCTAATCTCCTTTGCCTCTGCCCTTAAAATTACAGTTAGCATGTTGTCTTGTGGTTAACACCTAGGCTGTGATATTTGCCCCTTTTAGCCCAACACATTCAATTTCAGGAAATTTTTAATTAGAAGCTTTTTTAAGACATACTTGCAGGCAATGGGTGTAGTATTCTATGGGAACATTTTTCTTCTCTAGTCCTGCTCTGCTTTCAGCGTCAGGTTTTTATGAGGTTTCGGTAGCAATCCTTGGTATGTGCTTTGCACAGATGCTGGTATTGTTTGGCCTTGGATTATCTTCCTGTGACAATTTACTGAAAGTTCTCTTCGTTAGTCAGTTTCTTTCAGGACCTCCATATTTCTTCTTCATTCACTCGCTTGCAATAAATTATCTATATCTGCAGTGCTGTCTCTAGTATGAACCTCACTCACTGTCTTTTGTAATTCAATTAGCAGCCTCTAAAGTTTGGCTTCCACCATTCAGGTGGTCCAATGTTTTTGCCCTCATCAGATAGAGACAACCTATATTCTTTGGTCATGTGATGAGAAGGATAAAACTGGTGTATATCATGAAAGTAGGGAAGCTGGAGGGGAGAAGAGGCAGAGGGAGACTGAGATAAAAGATACTGGACAGTTTGACATCATGGCATGGAGGATCATCTGTGTCAGAGTTTACTGAAAATACGTGAAACAAAAGGTTGTCGACAGACATGAATACCAACACCACACGGCAAAAACTTTAAGAAGAAAAAAGAAATACAAAAATTACTCAACTCAACTTGTATATTTTCACAAAGTCACTCACTCTATTACATACGATCATGAATGATAAGTCTTAACAGTTTCACTTACTTTAACATCCAATCCATATTTTTTTATGGATCTCATGAACAGACGGAAACCATCATTCTCCTCTGTTGCCACAGTAACAACCAGTAAATCTGGAATAAGACAATGAAGCTCATTTCATGCTAGGTGCCTGGAAGCTTTATTCTCCTTCTTCGCTCACTATTAAAGAAGTATCTAGCACTTCTAGTTGTGGTTAACAGCTGGGCTTCATGTAATACATGTGCCTTTCGACCCAATACATCTGATTTCAGCTATATGTTTATTAGTCGTCTTCTACAATACGTATGTTAAGGGGCTGTTGGTATGTTGTTTTTTTTTCTCCCTGGAAACCCAAATGGTTTTAATTTCCCTGTGTATGTTTTTCTTTCAATTTAATTAAACACATTCTTTACCAATCAACAAATGCTAGGGTGGAGAAGCAGCTACCAGGTCAAGGGAATCTTTTTTTAATGACCTTTTTATTTTACTTAAAACAGACCTTGGCTGCCAAGTTGATCAAACATTAAATTGGTACCAGGTAAAGTCCTGGGAAGTCAAGGTGGCCAGCATAATGCTGACAATATCACCCACTGAGGGCCAATTAGTATTAAAAAGATGAGTGTAGCATCAATGTCCAAAGTGCCACTCTTATGAAAATGGCCTTTTACATTAATTATACCAAGCAATGTGACATAAACAGTTGGTTAACCTATACACAGAAGTTACTAAAAAATGTGAATGGAAAACTAAGGAAGAAAAACGAAATCAATCAATCAGCTGCCGTCTCGACAGTGAAGATTGGATCTCCAACACGCTCCGTCTTCTGTCCTGGTTGTACACTCTCTTAGATTGCTGCCAGTCCATCTATTGATGTTGTCCTCCCACTTGTATTGCCCACCTCTTGCTCTCTTGCCTTGACCCTTCCCTCCAGTATGGTTTTTAAAAGTGTGTCATGTCTTTTAATGTGGCCAAAGTATTTTAACTGTCTCTCTTTTATTTCTTTCAGTAATTCTCTTTTCATTTATAGCCTTTCCAGAACCTCTGTACAGGACTGTTTTTGTTTCCATGAAATATGATCTTTTCTTCTGAATACCCAGATCTCCAGAGACTCAATTCGATTTTCTAGTTGCTAGTTCATTGAGTTGGTTGAGGGCCTATGCTCCATTGGGGGATAAAAAGGCAGAAGAAGAAGAAGAAGAAGTTCATTGTCCAAGTTTCTGCACCATATAGCAGAACTGAGTACACATAATTCTCATTTTTAGTGTGCTGTGTATCTCTCCAGCTGTCAGTAACTTGCGTATCTTACTGAAGACGTCCTTTACTTCTTCAAATCAGCTACCTTATTCAACCCATACTTGAGAAATCTAAGTCGGGTATGAAATGCCTGGAGAGGTCAATGTGTCGGCTGAAAGACAAAAATATCACAGTTATGTTCTAAAAGGGCACAACACATTTACATCTTCAGATGAAGACAGAAGATCTAAGCCATACACAGCATGTTTTCTCTAACTCCTGCTGTCTGTTGTGCTGGTTATGTGCTTGTTTGCATTCATCAGCTGTAAATGGAAATGGAAAGTCCTGCTCTCTGGCTTTGTTCCCACGTCTCGAGTTTTGCGTGTACATCCTTTTTACAGAAATATGCAGTTTGTTGTTTTTTGCTGATCGGGCAGATGTATTCCAGCTCAAAAAAAAGCAATCTGCTGTTACATTAATCCTCAAAATGAAAAAGAAGCAGTGGCAACAGAGAAGAGCAAATGAGGATAATTAAGAAGAAGGTAAAAGATGCAGCTGAAGAAAAAGAGGAGGAGGGAAAGAAAAGAGTTACCTTAAGAACTGACATTACAGAATATATCCATAAGCCAAAGTGGAGAGGGAGAAGGGAAAGAGGAGGATCAAGAGAAAAAGGATGAAAAGGAAGAAAATCATAATATAGCTAATATTCTCTGAAAATGTATCTTTAGTCACCTGTTTTGTCCTTAGACACCTCACCTAGTGTCGATGAGGCTCCAATTGCAGCAATGAAGGCTACAAACACAAATGTGAAAGATGCCATCTCTGACAAATTCTCCCGGTATCAACAGACTAATGGAGAAAAGAGAAATGCAAAAAAAGTAAGCACAATTTAAATATTCAGCTCTTGTATTAAATTAGTGTTGTTGGTTGAACTAAAACATAAAGATCAACGGCCGACCTGTCAGCCCAATAAAAAAATAGTCAAAAAGAGGGCTGGGCAGATCAGCCGGCCCTAAATAGTACAATCCTTGAGATTGGCTGGCAAGATTTCGTACCAGCTAATCAGATTGCTTCTCTTATTTCTTGCACACGTGGGCTCTGGAATTTTATACCGTTTTTGTGTGTGTGTGCATCAATAGCAACCAAAACATAGGAGGCAGGAAAAGGAGTAGAACCATGTGACAAATGTGTCTGAAGGGTCTCCCTGTTTCTTACTTCCCAAAACCCAAGTGTTAAGACTTATTCAGGCTTCATCCATCAAACAATTCACCCAAACTTTTGTGGTTAGTCAGATTTGTTCCCAAGTTTCAGAAAAATGCTTGTGTAAATTATGCAAATCAGAATATTTAATTTGAATAAATGCTGAAATTTGAGTTTGATTAAAAATATTAAATCAGCTCATTCAATTTCCTACAGTTTTGTATATGTTAATTAAACACTTTATTTTGTATAATTTTTTGTCCGTAAACTAAAAGAAACCCCTCCTGAAGGCTCCGAATTTTTGGAAATGAAACTCCAAAAAAAAAGGCATTGCCCCCAAAGGGTTAATAAACTACAAACATTAATAGGGGCCAAAGTGGTGTAGTTTTTCTAACTTGAAAGATTATAAATCCTAGAGTTGAGTTAAGAAGTGAGATCACAGCTCTCTGGACATTTTCATAAGCGCTCTGTCCACATCTTCAGCAGCCAGCAAAAAGTTCCCAATTAAAAGGTGCTAGTAGCAATTGGATAAGAGTATACTTTCACCTTAACTTGCTTCAAACAATGTCAAAAACAAATAAAAACAAGACCATAATCATCAAGGTGGAGACATGCCAGAGGAAACAGCCCTGCTACAAAAACTAAACAGATGCCCCCATTATAGCTTTAAAGGTTCTAGAAAGAACGTGCTTGTTCTTCTTCGAACCTTCTGTCAGAAAATATCAGGAGGCCGGTAGACTTGATGCAAGCTAAAGTGCAGTCCATATTTTAACTTAACCATACAACTTTGTCTTGGTTGAGGGTGGAACCAGCCAGAGTGCTTCTCTGTTAGCAATGTACAATTTAAAGTGCTGGAGAACATGCTCAGCAAATTTTTTAACGTGAATTTACAGACACAAGTCTCTGTATTTCCTACGCTAAAAAAAAACAATTGAACATATATTGGCAAAGACTGTTGTGCCATGTCCTTCGCCTTAATATGACATACTGTCCCTCTCTAGAGAGGTGATGAAGCAAGTCTTTGTTGTGGGTATTTAGCCACCTTTCTTGGATACTAGATTGTATTAATGTCTTAGTCTGTTGGTGGGTTAAGTCACTATTTGACTGCCCCATATCATGGCAGCCCTGGGAAGTAAAAATGGCTGGTGGGATGCTGACCACATCACTATGTAAGTGCTGAATGGTCTATAAAATAGAGGTCCAGCCCTATATGCCCAATATGTTTGAAGATGCGGCAAAGAGTCCTTTACTTTATTTTCTTGATTATATAGGTGTTGCTTCTGGAAAGAACATGCTGTGAGTTATACAATTCAGAAAGAATGGCTAGACTTTCTTAGAAGGGAAAAACTATTACCACATCAAGGTGGAGACATATCAATGGAAGGGACAGTTATTCTTATCTCTTTTGTTAACAAGGAACATAGATGTTTTCTGGAAGGATAACCCCATCAACAAATGCCTGCAGAAGTCGGATGTGTCGGCCAAAAGGTGCAAATATTGCAGTCATGCTGTAAATGGGCAAAACGCAAATTTCATCTTCAGATGAACGCAGTAGAAAAAATATCATATGCTCATCATATTTCCTGCCAAGGAGGCCTAGAAACAACACGATATATGTTAAACAAATGTAGAAAGAATGTCTAGTTAGTTAGCTAGTTAGTTAGTTGACAGATTATCCTCATTGCACATCAAAACATTCAGTCCATAGGTGCTCAGATCCCCTCCTTAGTAAATCCTGCAGAGTGTAGCTGATCACAACACCCACCAGTTCTATGTTGCTTTCTTATTCTTCTTTGGCTTCCTGCATAGCACTCTTGGAAGAATGTCTGGACTTTCCTAGAAGGTTAAATACTATATACCAAAACAAGGCGAGCAGGGGACAGTTATTGTATCTAATCTCTGTTGTTCCCAAGGAACATATTATACATTCATAGTTTCCTGCCTAGGAGGCCTAGAAATATTATGCTATAAGTTATACAATTCTAAAAAGAATATCTAGACTTACTTATAAGGAAAACAAACTATACACCACATCAAGGTGAGAGACATATCAGTGGAGGGGACATTTATTCTATATAATCTTAACTATTTTGATCCCACGTATAACCATGTTGGCAAAAGACTGTGCCTTGACTTTAATCTGAATATAACACACTTTCCTCTCTAGAAAGGTGACGAAGCAAGTCTTGATGAGAAATTCTGGTATGGGTATCCAGCAACCTTTCTTGGATACTAGACTGTATTAATGTCTTAGTTTCTTGGTGAGTTAAATCACTATCTGATTGCACTATGTCACTGTCACTTGCGGAAAGCACTGCTACAAGTGATAAAATGCTAAAAAAGGATGTCTAGACTTTGCTAGAAAAAAAAAATACCACATAAAAGTAGAGACATATCACAATATCAGTAAATGAGACAGTTATTTGATCTATTATTCTATCTAATCTTAACTTTCAATCCTAAAATAGGCATCATGTGTTCATTGGCAACGACCTAGCAGGTATGCGGAAGTTGATACTTTTAAACAAATTCGGTTGAGGCTGAGTGGTCTCGAGGTATGGTGTCCGCCTCAAGTGCTGGAGGTCCTAGATTCAAGCCCCGGCAAAAGGTGAGATTTTTTCACGTGGATTACTAGTAAAGTCAGACGCCCGATTGTATTCTTGTGCACATAGAAAATCCC